TGGTAGTCAGAGATAATGTATGTAAGACAGAAATACAAATGGTTAAAAGGCTGCTATTATCCATAGTCGGTATCTTCTTGAAACAGAGCTATTGATTCAATGAATAAGAGTGTCAAATGATAAACAATAACTACTCATCCATTACCGTTATATTCTTAATTGTATAACGAAACATTCATGTCGATAAAATCCACGCACTAGTTCAGTTAGATAAAACTTTGATGTTCTCTTCTTTCTATACATACTATAGAGACACAGATATAAAGCAAAAAATAGAGAAAAGAACAAATTTTATCGTTTTACCCAAAAGAAAGATTCTCTTCACTATGAAATTAGACATCCCCCTAATCTACCGCTCCATTTCTTAATGTTTACAACCGTTCAAATGTTTTCAGCTAGAATAAACTATGTCAAGTTATGAAAGTTTCTGCACAGTTAATGAAAGACGACATATACTATCTAACTGATGATAAACGGGCGTGCTCTCCAGATATCTTATACACCCTAGAAAGATTTACTGTCAGCTTGCTTTTTACATCTTTACCTCTATCACACATTTATAAGTGCAGGTGAGATATCACAATAGAGCACCACAATGTTGTTCTATAGAAAGGTGTGTATTGCCTTTTTTCTTACTTTGTGTGTTTTTGTTGACGCTACAGACCATTATCTGAATGCTCATGGGGCTTTTGGGAATCGTCAGTCTGTAAAGGGTGAACCAAATATATATCCTTGTGATCGAAGCGCAGGCATCTCTACGTCTTCAGGTCCAATTCCAACTGTGACCATTACTGATTTGAATGTTTCAACTACAGTGTACGTTAGTATGGAACAAGTTGAAGTAACTTGGACGCCAATATTAAACACATGTGACGATGATTTCATCGGTATCTATTTTGTAGAAATACCGATTCTTACGGGTACATATGCTATTTATGTATGATTAGCCAGAAAGATGAACTGATTACATTAGTTATCGTCAAAATGATTTCGTTACGATCGAAAGAAATAGCTAGAAATCAGATTCTTCTCTGTATTATAGTATAAACGTGCATCTTTTCTGTTTTTATCAGGTGATTGTGATTGTGTCGGCTATGCGTTTGTGCAAAAGAACCAGACTAGTACGTCATGAGAAATGATCAATTTCCGTCGACCACTTGAATTTCGTTAGTATTCACGCGATCAGCATTGCTCCGGTACTATTCGTTTGTCGCCAACTCATCCGTTGTTCGACCCCTTAACTAAAACGAACCTACACAGATGCATTTAGCATATGGTGATCGAACCGATCAAATGTATGTTTCTTTTGTCACTAATTCAAATGCTCATACACCACGATGTCAATATGGATTAAATCCATCGTCACTAGGATGGAAGGCTAATGGTACGACACTCACTTATACAGCATCAGACATGTGTGAAGGTAGAGCTACTGTATGGGGTCCACAAAACTTCATCGATCCTGGCTTTATGCATACGATTTTACTCAATGATCTCCACCCATCAACTAAGTATTCCTATCGGGTAGGCACTGATGAAGACGGCTGGTCGTCAGTGTACTCATTTATCAATCGTCCTGCAAATGGAGATTCAAAAGTGCCCCTCATTTCTTATGGTGACATGGAGTTGTCGCCAGTTGAACCAGGTACTAAATCAACTATTGATCGAGTACAAGCACGAGTGACGTCGACTAATATCACTTGTCTGTTACATATTGGTGACATCAGTTATGCTCAAAGTATCGGTGTTTTGTGGGATGCATTCATGACTCAGATAGGACCGATCGCATCTCGTGTACCATACATGGTCAGTATTGGAAATCATGAATATGATCATGTTACTGGTGGTGATAAGGACTCAAGTGGAGCACCAGGTCCCGGAGGATTTCGTCCCAAATGGTAAGTTACTTGTCGTCGTCATAATCTCTTCTCTTCTCTAAATTGTTGTAAATGTCATATTATCGATACTTTTATCACTGCATCGTCCTTTTTAGGGGTGATTATGGTACTGATTCTGGTGGTGAATACGCCGTTCCCATGCTGCGTCGTTTTCACTCTCCATCCAATGGCAACGGTCTATCTTGGTACAGTTTTGATGTTGCTCACATTCATTTTATTTTATATTCAAATGTACATGACTTTCATCGTGGATTACCACAATATATTTGGCTAGAGCAAGATCTTCAATCGGTGAATCCTTCCCGCACACCGTGGCTTATTTCTGCTTCGCATCGTCCCATGTATTCATCACAAATAATCGACCCACCCTATTTGATTATATTAATGTTGCAATTACATTTAGAACCGTTATTTTACAAATATCATGTTGATATTAATCTTTATGCTCATATGCATTCGTATGAGCGAACTTGTCCAATGTATCAACAGAAATGTGTTGATGATGATGTTACACAAGTTTTAATTGGTATGGATGGACTATCTTTGGTTTCTTATCCATATACAGGTGCTCAATGGAGTATCTATCATGATGAAGAATATGACTACACACAATTGTGAGCTAATCGAACCTATTTGAAAGTTACCTACTATCACGATGCCGATGATGCCATTGCCGATGAATTGGTACTCAACAAGTGAAAAAAGAGAGATTTTTTTGAATCGATGCATTCACTAACTGTGAGTGAGATTTATCTTGCGAGAATTAATGCTGAAATCTGTTCTTGTCTTTCGGCAAATTAAAAATCAATAAAATGAGTGGAGAATCAAGCGCAACACGAATCTTTGCTTAGGGCATACCAAAAGTAGTGGCGGAGGTACTCTAATTCCTTCTAAAAGGCTTTCAGAAACTTTCTTTCTATATATTCTGATACGAAAAAGAATGCTCTGTTTTTCTATGCTATTTGATCATATTTACACTAATATTATAATAATAAAATTTCCAAAAGCTCTGTTTCGTTTGCGTGTGTTCCGGTTGCATGAAATTAATGAGTTCGAAGAAATCCATGTTTCTCCACAGGAGCTTCATGACTTTTCCTAAAGACATGCATGTATCACCACTAGAACTTCCTGGTTTCTCCAGAAGAAATCCATGTTTCTCCCAAGAACTTCTAACTTCATATCTTGGTATTCTGGCATAATTTGGATGGACCTTGACTGGGTTATGAATTCTTTAATATTACTCAAAAATAGGCAAAAAATCGGTTATTTCCCCTCATATAGGTTTTCACTAGAGTATTGAAACTGTTTTATTTTTTTTTCCGAATATTTAATTTATATCCGGTTTATATCCGAACATTTATTTTCCGAATTACCACAATCAAAATTCAGTTAAAATCACTTAAATTCAAGTAAAGTCAGTTAAAATCATTTAAATTCAGTTAAATTCAGCTAAATTCAGTTAAATTCAAGTAAATCCAAAAACGTATCAAATTCAGCTGTTTCCCCCTTCTGCCTACTTCAACGTGAACGCTAAAACATGTTGGCGTTTCTTGAACGTGAACTTTATTTATACTAACGGGATTCGTATTGTCTGAAGTAAACGTAAGATACTGTAGGAAAATAACGGTATCAATCCATACAAAGCATTTTGTCTCTGCTTCTGACATACGTCCTTCTAACTACATATTACGGCGTACATAGTGTCATCACTTAATTTTCTCTTGAACGACTTCTACCAGTCGTTAAGTCCGGGTTCTTTAGTTAAGTGAAACAAGAAAAACTCCCTCAATAATCTATATTAAATAAAGTGCCAATCCAATTTCTGTAGTATAGTTAAAAATAATGGTAAAAAGATACATATGCAGGAATAACAAGAAGTGAGGAGACCACTAACTGATCCGTCGACTTACTAACACTGTATTCAAAATGCACTCGAACTGGCTATCAAAATGTATGCTTTCTTATATATATGTCCAAAAGAATAAAAATTTACCACGAATCTATCAAAGTCAGAAATTCTTGATCTATTCACTGCATACCAAATACGCGCTTAACCTGTAAGTAACACGTAACCCAATTAGACTGGACTACCTTAAACTATCCAAATACACCAATAACTGGAATTAGCCATGAGTTTGGATCGTCATTATATCCAGAAAATTTATCAGACTTTTTAAAATCAACTGCTAAAAATCTTTGTCGTTCTGATCTAAGTTGTATCTCCCAAATGATTCTCTTTTTGTTGCCACTATGGCTGCAGATTATTGAGATTGCTGATTTATAAAGACAGTTGTGGTCGTTAGTGATTGTTCCTCTGGACAACCCACCAAACGTATGGTCACATATGGGACAGTCCATAATACCTACTACCACACTTCTATAGCTCAAAGTCATAACATTTCTACACCCACTATAGAATTTATAACTTTTTCACAAAATAATTTCATCATCAAATAGACAAGCATTATATAAGGTATTTAATAAATACCAAAATATTAAAGGCAATTTTGTTTTTGTTCCAAGCAATAACTTTGTTTATGTACCGGATATGAATTTCACGTTGCGAAGAATACACTATTTAAAGTACCATTGCAAGTAGGTTTATTTAATCAAGCACAAGTGCTTGATCAATTCGTTCAAATTATAGTTGATGATTATTTAATTATTCATAATCGTCTTTTACCGAATATCGATCAACGATTAGGTATGCTCTTGGTCACAGACTCATCAAACGGATCGCATTGAGGTTATCATAATTTTAGAGGATCTATAAATTCTTTTGAATTTGTTACACGTATGGCAATGGTGTACCTTCCTCCAGGAACTTACACATTTAATGTTGGTGTACGATCTTCTCATGCATCAGATCTGCTAGGGGATGATATGGTAACATATGAATTAACACAATTTGATAGTGATCAAGATTTGGGTGGTTTAAAATTAGCCACATTTCCAAAATAAAAAATATGTACTACAGTAAATAAACATATAAAGAGCGGGTGAGTCTAAGATAAGTATTAGGTCTCTTTATATTTCCAAGTCTTTCATAGTCGAAAGTTATGAATTGTAATACATTAGCCTATTTGAAGCGTAGTTCATGTTACGGGCTACTCCTTTGATGGTATTAAAGAAAATAAAAACACGCTCTCTATCATCGAATTTAAAACAACTAAATCATTCAAAATGACTATAACATAACTAGAATAAGAATAATTCGTTCTGCTTGTTGTACTACAAAACATATAAGATCACAATAACCACAATGAACGAAACAAAGATTTTTACATCAAAGGACAGAACTTTTTGCTCAATCGATCTGAACGATTTTTAGATTTTGTACATGCCATTCTCACGTGGTCTTCCTATGCAATTAATCTTATGATCCCGTCGATTCATGCCACGTACGAAGCATCGCCTCCTTTCACCATGTTCTTTTGTGTTTGTTTTGCAAAATCATCGGTCCGTGACGTGAGAGACACTCAGACGGAATTCTAAAATGACACGAGCTGTCCCAATTCTAGAAGAGAAAGGAAAACTGTCAACTCTGTTATGCAATGTTGAGGCTAAACATATGGGGATAAACACAATAGTTCAAAGTTGAATCTTCTGCTGTCGAATGATATTAGAAAATTTGAAGAAGTAGATTGTGTCAGCAATAAGATTTTCGAATTTCATCCAAGAAAGGACACCGACAGATAAGGTCACGAATCTGCCACCCCCTGAAAAAATCTCATAAATACAGGATGAACGCTCACATTTTTCTGCACACTTCCATATATTTGGTTTGATTTTTCACCAGAATATATAGGCGATATCTGGGACACATTCCATGTCGACGTGTACGGCAATCATACGCGTATCGTCCAACACGGTTCGTGTGACATGAGAGACACTCACACGGAATTCAAAAATGACACCAGCTGTCCCTATTCTGAAAGAAAAAGGAAAGCTGTCATCTATATAATGCAATGGTCAACTCATACTTATGGGTATCGATACATCTTAGTGTGGAGCACTACTGAAGCAACAGTGCCAAAGTTGTGTTGCATAAGGCATTTCTTGTTCTTGTTCACATTCACACCACTTGAAAATTTTTGAATAACTCGACATCAAGAACGCTTTTTTATGTGTGAACGCTAAGAGTGATATTTCCTATCCAAAAAGAAGTCAATCATCCACCTCTGACTGGTATTTTCCACTTGGAAACTTTAGCCATATTTGACTACATCGTCGTAGAACGAACTAAAGTAGTGAAGTGGAATGTAATTTCTTTGTAAAGCTGATCACCCAAGGGAGAAAAGCAGCTGCTGACAGCATCTTTGCCGTATAAGGAGCTGCTTTTTTCCCGTTTGGTCATCGGTCGAAAAATTGAAGTTATTAGAATGGCTTACGGTAGGTGAAAAATATACGGCTTTTCACCTGTCAATCATACGCGTGTCGTCCAACACGGTCCGTGACATGAGAGACACTCAGACGGAATTCCAAAATGACACGAGCTGTCCTTAGTCTAGAAGAGAAGGAAAAGTGTCAGCTGTGTAATGGAATGGTCAACTCATACTTACGGGTATCGATACATACCAGTGTAGGATACTACTAAACAGCAACAGTGCCAAAGTTGTGTTGCATAAGACATTTCTTGTTCTTGTTCACATCAGCAGGAGATTCTGTCAACTGTTAAGAAAATAGACAATCATTCGTGAGCGATCTATGTGAGCGATTTAAACGATTCTATTCTATATACGAACACTCTTCTTGTTCTCCTTCGCTATTTCCCTATGAACGACAACTAGCATAGCATTAGGCATGCACCGAGACAGAAGAGTAGCTGACACGGATCCATTTTCTTTCTATTCTGGACACAGAGATAGACGTTTTAAGGTTCCATGCTTCCAGCGGAGGAAATAAACATCTCTTTTTTCTTCGTCTTTTTTTTCGTAGAAGTTGAAATAAATTTCTATTCGAGTAAAGGATCATAAAGGTATCATATAGGGATCAAAAGAGAGATCGATCCTCCCTTTTTTGCTGCATGCTTTTTCTCCTCTGGTACTCTATATGTTTTGAAATATACATAAACATATAATAGGCAAGCACGAAATTCAAGAACTGGTCAATAAAAAACAATTAGTTTATAGAATATTATACTTTTGCTCAATTGATCCATTGTTGCTTAAGTAGAACTATAGGATGATTCGGCTATAGGTATCATCGACGCCACTTGCGCACACGATAAACCTGCGAGGAAAGCTGCAAGCGCACCAATTATAAAGGAAATGATCACCGATGGTCCAGCAAAATGTGTAATGACTGTGATCATATTAAGAACGCATTGCTGATGATTGTGTCGGTAAAAGGGTACATATATACATGTCGAAATTATACTTTGGGCTGCTGCAGTGTGAACTACCTCAGACCGAACTACTCCCGAACGCAACAGACGCTTGATTTTGATATTTTGACTATAGAAAAAGACTTCAAAAGGGTTCTACGCGTTTCCCTAAGAAATGCAATGTTTGTAAAGAAAAAAAAAGTGATTACTCCAATTTGCACTGCTACAGTTTGCATTACTGCAGTTTGGACTACTCGAGTTTGCACTCAACACTTTGGACTAATAAACTTTGCACTAAACCTTGATATCATCGCAGCCGTTTCATGGAACGTGTGATGAAAGTGCTGATCTGTCTAAAAACACCAGACTCTTCGTCAAAAAAAGGGGTTAACTTTCGTAAGCACTATGTAAGCGTAGCTAAACTTTCGTCGCATGCCCAAAGAACTTTCGTCCGGGTGACTCTTTCGTTACTGAAAACAAAGCTTTCATCATGTGACGAAAGTACTGTGAAACCCCAAAATTCTAGAAATTTCAACTCATTTTATAATGAAGTGAACAACAACTATCCTATAGATTTTTATCATTACCTGAGAAGTAAAAATCATCAACTGACCGATAATTTAAAAAATAGAAGACTATTTACCACATTTTTATTGATTCATATTATTCTTTCATTTTACCAGACATCGTAACGTCAACCATAACTGCTGAAACTTATATTGAACCGGATTTCCCAGTTTCATGGTATATTATTATCAATGAAAATCCGTTTGATCGACCATTGAATTTTTTTCATTCCAACACTCCGGGATTGCAAGGAATTATTGGTAAGTTGTAGGCAGGCAACTATCGTATTACAGTACAGATGATAAGGAACATGTATATGATAGTTATTAAATTATCAGTCTTATGATGATAGTACATTTCACTCAGTTTGTAATGTGTTTCGGGGATTTGTTCATGATCGGCTGGTATCAATTTCAAAATACGCTCGCACATAGTGGTGATTTCGTCAGTGGTATATGTGGGCCCCTTTGAACGATTTACATATCAAACAATTTGGTTGACTTCAACTTTTTAGTGAAAATCTGGCTCACTTCTCAGATGAAAATTCACTGAAAAATTGAAGTCAACCAAATTATTTGATATGTAAATCGTTCGATCCAGTTTTTGATGCTGATTCCGAATATGATATTTATTTTGAACAGTAACTTAATTATACGATTCGCTTACATGGATGACTTGTCAAAATATGAAACTATATTTTAGTGATACAACATTTGCTTATCATATTCCATATTACAGTAGAAACGGAAAATTATTTGAATTTAAAAGTCATTGGAATGAAGCAAATGATAATACATTGTCAGCAATAAAATTTCTACAATTTCCTCATTTTCTTTTGCATATTAAAAATGAAAAGGAACAATCAAGAAAATAAGTTGCATTAAATCTCTTACAAGAAGAAATTGATAAAGACAAACATTTTGGAATTGCTATTCGTATGTTTCCTGTTAGACAATCAAATAAGAATGCCGATGGTTTAGAAGATAAACGCAGAATTGGCTCAGTCTATTATTATGATCTTTCTACAAATGTAGTTTCTCTCAGAAGTCGTCAATTGAATGAATTATTTATTTTGCCAAGTGGTTATTATATTATTGTTCCAACAATTACTGAATTAAATTTAAAATCTCTGAAATATATTTTTCGAATATTTTCATATGATGATGTCACTGTTGAACAACTTGCATGCAAAGAAAGTCAAAGATTTAACTCTAAAGAAAACAAATATATTAAAATAATATCATTAAGATCTTAGAATCAAACTGACTTTATTTGATTTTCAAATATCATAATTATTTTTTAAATGTTCATTTATAGTAATCCTTTTTTAAAAAACAGTGTAAGATCTGTTTATGTATAACTTACCTATCAGTTGAAAGTTAACTTTCAAGAGACCGGTATATTTCAGTTTCTCGTGATATGCAGTACTCGAAACTGAACTAGATCTGAGCATTCTATGTAAAGCCCTGCGGGATCGCGTTTTTTCGTCTCGATCCCGTCCCGTAGGCTTAATTACGATCCCGTTAAATTCCGAAAAATTTTTTCACTAAAATATAGGCAGTTGTCGCTCAAAAATGGCCGCCGATGATAATGTATTTTTCTTTTCTTTGTTTCTTTTCGTTGAATAAAACTTCAACCAATGTCTATATACTCGATTAGCTGTATGCATTCTGTTTTCTATTTGGCATATATATAGAGAGGGAAATCCCGATCCCGTTTCGTAACCTTCGGGATCGGGACTTCAATTCCTTGCTTATCAGAGATCCTAAATCGGTTTACCCTGCTTTGTTTACTCAAAAGTCTTGATTTATTATCAAGCTTGGAGTGATTCGGAGTGCCATGGGCTTAAGGAAACTTAAGAAATTTTATTCACCTTAAAGCTAAATCTGAGGCAGCTGAATTAGCAAAGTTGTCTTTCTCTATCTTTTTACTTGAGGGTACTCCCCCTCTCTTTTCAACTTGTTGCAAAACACGGAGCACACATCCGATCGAGCTCAACTTTATAGCCGAGATAGGACATCGAAAAAGACAATCGATGTATTTTTGCCTAGAATTTTCTGAGATGTTTCTCTGTGGTTCATCCAGTCACAGTACGCCCCATCGAAAAAATGATCCGATCGAGCTCAAATTTTTACCACAGATATTTTAGACCTTATCTCAGGAGTAAAAGTTTTCTTTTCGAAAATTATGCTTTCTTTCTCGAAATATTTGAAAAATATTAAAAATCCTGTATAGAAAACCGGTTGGTTTTAGAAACGTTCTCACACCGAAAGTTGAGATCGAAAACGTTAAAAAGAAATTTTTCTCTTGAGATAGGGTCTGAAGTATCTGTGGTAAAAATTTAAGCTCGATCGGACGATTTTTTCGAAGGATCGTAATGTGACTGGATGGAAAGGACTATCAAAAAAACACATATTGTATATAGGGTTCTGTTTTTCAGGGCCTTTGTGGTGATGCTTATATCTCCCGAAAACCCATCGCAAAATTCTGGAAGACATCTCATTTTGAAGAGTACATTTTCTTCTACCAGTCCATGACTCAGAAAAAAATCTGAATATATAATAAAGGAGAGAAGAATTTACGAAACCAAAAAATTGAGATTTCTTGGCCGCATTCTGCGACTTAGTTTTCTGCATTTTGACTTTCCAGCGATCCTGGCTTTGAAAATTTTGATAGAACCTTCAAGTACACCATATCATATTGAAACTTCTTTGGCTATTCAGTGCTTTTTCCAGACTTTTTCTTCCTCTTATGGTTGAGGAGAAATACCTGAAACAAATCGTTTCTATAATTTTGTCTAGTAATGCAGGTGAAAATGATCATGTTTTTCTAGTACTTTGATAATTGTCCTATATCGGCATAGTTTCAGAAAGCTTATTTATAACTCATTTTGCAGCGTAGAGAATTCTCTATCTGTTTGCATATGAGTTTTGTCAAATGATTCTGAAATCATATGGAAACTTTGAGTAACAAAGTGAGCGCCCATTCTTCAAATGGTGACGAAAAATGAGAAAAAAGTTTATTTTCAAGGAGAACAGAAGCACTTTTTTGAGCGTGGGCAGTGTTGAGAAGTGAAAATTTATTTCTCATCATTTTCGCTCAAAATGATATTGAACCATTTTCTTACATAAACCGTTTCCCGTCCTTTCTTCATTAATAAACAGTGTGTTGGTTGTTAACAATAAAAATACTCGGTTATGATTGGA